AGGGGGTGCTGCAGGAAACAGGAGGAGTTGGTGAGAGGAAAAGGGGCCACGAGTGATTCTCTTTTACTGCAAACACAAGTGGAGAATCCTTGCTGAGCAGACTTTCCTCAAGTCAGCAGATGCTTTGTCTGAGCCAGGACTTGCTTTCCAAGCACTGAGTGCAAAGTTCTGCCACTGATTGCAGGAGCAGCCACACAAGGGAAATGGAGGAGAAACAAGGGCAGTTTCTGCTGGAAGTCATGAAATAACTGCAAACCCCCTGAGCCAGGGCTCTTCCCAGGGGCTCTGAGAGGGGCTCAGAAACCTGTATTTTATCTCTCTATTCTCATCCAACAGCAGATGCAAGTTCTGTGAATTGTTCAGGCCTCCCAAAGCTTTATTGACCCACCAGTGCTGATGTCCCAAGCCTGACACTGGTGTGGTGTGGAGACAAACACCTGCCACCCCCAGGGCCCTATGCAGGTGATCTATAAAACTTGTTTCCTACACATTTTAGCTCATGTTACTCCTTGGCTGTGCCAAGGACAGGCACGAATTCCAGCCCTTGGTAGGTCCCTTCCAGCCATGGTCAGGTCAAGGACATCCACACCAGGGTCAGCCTTGGGCACAGAAGCCGAGTGGACCCTTGGCCAGAGCACCAGTGACTGTCAGTGCAGGACTCAGCTGGCACAGCAGAATTTGGCTCCCTGACTCCTCCAGGGACTGAGCAGAGCCCTTGCCCTGCTGACCCCACAGGCCATGGCCAGTGCTCCGGGGGCTGGCTCTGGTCCTGCTCCCCCACTGATCCCTCTGCTCTCTCCAAGGTGTGTGGGGCGTTTCTCTCCTCCGACTGGAGTGAAAGGAAAAAGAGCGGGGCAGCATCAGCCTTTTTTGGGACAGGAGAGTGCTTTGTGTTCACTGTAAGTCGTGGGTTATTTCTGGGTTTGGCCCTTCATTACTGTTTCCTTGACCCCTCAGGGCACGGTGAGCCCCGAGGTGCTTCCTCCCCACAGCCCCAGCCCTGCCCTGAGCTCTGGCAGGAATTGCTGTGCTGGATCAGAGCAAAGGGAGACCCAACTGCTGCCCTGGGTGAGCTGGGCTGCCCTGAGCCCCCCAGGAACGTGTGACACCCACAGGTGGGTCTGGGAGCCCCTCCTGGGATGGCAGCAGGGCAGGTTTCTGCCCCGTTTGCTCAGGGCAGCTCCTGAATGGAGCATTCCCAAATCAGCCCTGGCACCCCTAAAGAGGGAACAGGCTGAGTTGGACCAAGAGATCCCGGGGACAAAGTGCAACATCCATCTGATATCCCACTGGCATCCACCCAGCATCCACCTGGCAGTGTGGGCAGTGCAGGTTTGCCCATCTCTGGCAGCACTGGCAAAACCAAAACCAACTTCTCAGCCACAGCCACCTCCAGGGCAGCCCTGGCACTACCAAGATGCCCTGTCCCTTCCTTACTCCAGGTCTGGACTTGGCTCACAGCATTTAATCTGAGCAACCTGACCTGGCTGGAGATGTCCCTGCTCATTGCAGGAACCAGCTGGCCTTTCAAGGTCCCTTTGATCCAAACTGTTCCATGACTGGAGGATTTGTCCCCTGCCCCCCCGGCCAGGTCTTCCCCCAGCAATGACAAGTGTCCCAAAGGCCAGGGCT